GACTTTGTCATACGCCATAAGCCCTACCATTCAGAAAGTGGAGCATATTCAAATCCTTTGTATTCTCCAGAAGGCGAAGGAAATGCTTTCCGGATTTTGTCCACAGCACAAGAAGGTGTCGGTACTTTTTCCCCAACCCGTTATGCACCCAAGTCGTCCACTGTCGGTACGCCGTGTAGCGTAATGCTCTGAACGATACAAAATTTTGTCTAAGATACTTATCGGCATTATACATTTGTCGACATACACGTAATTACACTTCTAAGGTAATATTTACTTGTTTTCTTCACTCTCAGGCATAGGTCCAATGTCATGTATTACGACCATAGCTGTTTTACGACAGCTTCGTTTATACACACTGTGGCAAACTCTTCCTCTTGTGTGATACAAATATGATCGCCATGTATCAGAGGATCAGTTTTGTTTATCTCTTGGCAACATATACTTTCCCGTCCTGTACTCATGACCACACAAAAGCCACACTCGCACCTAAAAGATAAAACATTCTTTCTACTTTGGGAAAACAATGAAGCATCAATAAAATGCAACTAACCATTCAACATTTCCAATTGTGTGAATGTATTCATCTTCGCTTTCCGATGACGAAGAATTGTCATTACTTATGATCACCTTGCGCGTTGGCCAAAGGCTCAAACATGTAAGGTTGTACCTCATTGTTATTGACGACAATATTACGCCTTTCTTCTTCAGAAGAATCCATTAATTTTGTTAAATAAAAACAGTAATAGCAAACTACCGAAAGCCGTGAAAGAATTGCGTGCAAGTCGTAGAACGATATAAGAACGAAACTTGTTTATGTCAACTATTACGTCACTCTTCCCAGTTCCCAGACTTAAACAATCTCACGGCGTTTTAGCAATGGTCATCGAATATCGTGTTTTACCGATTATAACCCTAAATATCTTTAAATATTTCGCGGACGACTTTGAAACTTGGTACGTCTTATTTTCACGCTATAGGCATTACAATAAAATAAAGTTGTCTTCTAGCTTGCATGTGTCCTTTAAACGCACTAAATGATATCTTGTAAATGCAAATTGAGCAGTCACATGTAAATTTTATACACAATTTAGTTACTTCCCTAAAATGCTAAACACAACGATTCTTAGTAACTGCCATGATTGATTCATTTTGCTTACTGCTTAAGTTTGGCAAAAAGTAGGCCAATGAACACACACAATTTATAAAACTCATTGAATAAGTAATCCTCCAGATGATGTCAATTGTGCAAAATTTGTCTACGTCAGGCAAAATGAATATATACCTGTCAAATAGCTAGATGAGTTAGGCAAAAGTTGGCTTCTCTCGGCCTATCAATAGCAGAGCTATTACTAAATTGATTACTAACTGGTCTGCAAACCACATAACAATTAACTTACAAGCTTTTCTTCTAGTATCATTATGGTATATAATCTAATTGAGATCAACTTAGGAATTTCACTATTGGCAAGTGCCTTGCCTACCATTGATCCACCCTGATTTCGATTTTAAAAGTAAACAAGTATGCTCGCATTGAGGCTTGTAAACAGATTAAATGGGACCCGCGAGTAGTTTATCATGATTCACTATGTTTTGTCAAACAACTTAAAGTACTTAACATGTAAAATTACGATCAATGAATCATCTCACAGAACTACATCATATTGTCGCGCAAATTGCGATTGTATTTGTTTACATAAACGTCCACAGCAAGCGATAAAATTATGTTGGAGAATATTAAGGCTTTAAGCTATCTACTCGGGCAATTTGTCGTACAATTACGAGGTATAACCAAAGTAAGTGGTAATATATTTAATATTTTCGAATAAGCTAACATTTCCGGAATCTTTGAATTTTAGGCAAGTCGCCGACGCCAAACATTTATTACATTTATACTTTCTAGTCTATAATAATACATCCAGATTAATTATAATACAATCAAATAAATATAATTAAAATGCGACTTACATTGCAAACAATTTGTTGTAAACACTACACTGCGCTGTTGTTATAAAATGTTTCAAAAATAGTTATGACATTTGCCCTTGCTCTTTTCATGATAAAAACCATTTAAGTAAACTTACCCTAGTAAATGTTGTCAAAATTCGTGTTTTATGTCTAAATCACAGAACTTGCACATTCAAATTGACGACGAGAAGATGAACACAACGCTAATTCTATCCAGAGCCCTCTATATGTAAGAGTTGGGACCGCAGAGTTGGTATATTATGAGTTCTGTGGTTGGGCACGTATTGTTTTCTGCATTCTGCATGATGATTGGGTAAATACGGTCACATGGGCTCTCGCCGCTATTTTTGTTCCGAGAGCGCAATAGAAAACTATAGTTAATAAAGTCCTGAAAAGGACTGTTTTTGTTGTGTTGACTGACGTTTCGAAAACCTTAGCGGTAGTCATCTTCAGAGTCAAATGAGGAGTAAACGTCAGGTTAGCCGTATTTGTTAACTGGTTCTTACGTCATTGTATTGTGTGTACAGGAAATGTATTGTCTTTAAGGATTAGTGTGAAGTGAAATATTTTATTTTAGTAGTGATGTGTGATTTAGGTGTGATGTTTTAGTTGTAATGTGTGGGTACAATTGTGTATTGTCATTGTAAATTAGTGTGAAGTGTAATGTTTTAGTTGATCGTTTGTTTGTATTGTGAATAAGTCGTTTGTAAGGTGCCGGAATTGCTGTGATCTGTTCAGGGGGTTTGTTCCAAGTTAGTATACCAACTTTCTAATGTAAGCCGTTGTCTATAGTCAGTACTGTAAGTAATGCATTTGCCGAGTCCCAGTCAATGTTGTGCTTTGTGATTCGGTGATGTTCGGCAATGTGATTAGTTTTGTCTCGTTTCTTAGTAGCTCGTTTGTGTTCAGTAAGTCTTTATGTTTAAGTTCCTGCCAGTTTGCCCGATATAGAGGCGGCAGTCGAGCAGCTTATTTTGTAAACTGCACCTTGTCGTTCGTTGGTTGTTCTTTGTCCTTTATGTTCGTTAGTACTTGTCGTAACGTTGTGATTGGTTTATGTGCGACACGTATGTTGTATGGTCGTAAGATACGCGATAGTCTCAGACGTACCTTTGATGTAAGGTATCGTTGCTGTTGTCACTGAGTTGTTCGTTCGTTGGGTCGTTGGGTTTGTAAGTGTTGAGATTGATAAAGTCAGAGTTATAGTTGTTTTTTGTCAAAAACACGTTTGAGATAGTTGTTTTCGCTTTGTAGAGCGTCCGGTGAATCACATATGATTTGTGCACGTCTTGTTAATGTTCTTTCTCTTGACTGGAAAACGCTATACTAACCCATTAATGTCAAGTATTCTTTCTCATAGTAACTCCTCCAACCAACCTGCTTCGCCAGACGATTTTAAAATCATCTCATCCTGCTCAAACACATTCAACCTCATGATCCACGAAAGCCTCCTCATCTCCAAACTAAAACCTTCACTTAACACCCAAGGCAGTTCCATCCCTCTTTGGCTTTTCTAGTCTCAACACCTCACCCTAAAAATACATCACACTTATATCACACAATACATCACATAACACCTACACATTCACAGTAATCTGATACCTCAAACTATGCAAATAGCTCTATATATCTATATTCTTGTTAACTTCCTAATTGGTCTCAAGATGTCTTGAGTAAAGACGAAACGTCACTCTTAATAAATTTCATAAAACCAAATTGTTTATGACTATGTTTAAAATTATTTCTTGGGCTCGAATATTTATCTTGCAAGCTTTTAAAAAAATGTGAACAGTTGTTGTTATCCAATTCATGCCCAATCTTGTTGTTAAAATCTAATTCATGCCAGATGTTCCACTTTTGTTAAACAATTGTTAACTCGAGAATAAGTTAGCAGCCCCACAGATTATGTGGTTTGTGATTACAACCTACCCAGGGATATTTGTTACAACGTGCAATGTAGAAAGAGCTGGTAGATAATGATGCAATTCATGATCTGAAAGTAAAACAACACTTGGACTGTAAAGTAATAGAAATCCAGAGTGGATTTTAACAAATCATAAGAAAGTTTTGTTTAGCCAAGAATCTATTTTCATGAAAAACATGAGCAACAATCCTATGTGTGAGTCAAGAGAAAATCACCAGTGAAGAAACATCAGCAACAGCTTGGTTTTGTAACTAAACTAGTTTTTGGTATAACTTGAGATCTACATCTACTGGTTTCATTCAACTGGTGAGTCATTACGTTCACAAAATAAAAAATAATGCCCAAGTGAACCAAAATTCGCCAAGTGCACATAGGGGTCCGGGTTCCGTATAAGTTGCCATAAGACATAAGTTGAGTAAACGGTACACGTACATGTTTATGTCTTGTACGTGTTGTAGTGCGTTTTAAAACACGTACAAGACATAAACATGACGATAACTGGGTGAGGAATTTTTCTTCCCGCTCATTAGACGAAACTAAAACACAACAACTATCTTACGGACTAAAACATTAGTGTCGAGGCTGTCCTAGCGTAACAAAGAGACTTGTCAGAGACAACCAAAGACGAGATCAGAAGCAGGATAGCCTCCGCTATACAATCGTTCACTATACGTGACAACAACTTGACAAAAGACGAGCAACAAGCACTCAAACGACAAAACACGACAACAACATCGTCATTTTACCAGCAGACAAAGGACGCGTGACTGTGGTCATGGACAGGAATGATTACTTCGACAAAATGGACACTCTTGTTAACGAAAGACAAACGTACGAACAACCCAAACGAGACCCAACACCATCACTAGTACGCAAACTTAACAGCAAGATCTTCTCTATGATAAAATTTAATATATATCTGAACGTATTTACTATTGACTTAGGTGTTCGGTACCATGAACACCCAGACTATACGAACTGCCAAAACTTCACAAAGCACAAATACCCATGCGAACAATTGTATCATTCTGTGGTTCGCCTACTTACGAACTTTCAAAGTACTTGACTGACATACTGCAACCACTTACAAACAAATCAAAACACAAGCTACAATCCACTGAAACTTTCATTAAAAAACTGAGAACTATACAAATACCGAACAACTATATACAACGTATGGAACTGGGAAGTAAAAATGGTTTTAATGTACATTCATACAAATACTTATCATTGCCTTTCCTTCAAACAGGTTCTTTTCTCTTTAAACTGTTCATTCACGTGATTCGCTTTCATTAAAGAAGTTCTTGAGTTCTGTATTGTTTTAAATTCTTCATTTGACCTCACAGCAGCATGCACCCAAACAGGGAGATTGGGGAATTTCTTGATAAAAAATGCCTTGTGATCGCCAATCTTATAAAATGTTTGTGGTCTTGGCCGTGGTCGATCGTACCAATGTTGGCCTATATTTCGAATAAGTCTCAAGCATTCTGTCAATAAAGGACCATAATTATATATTTTTCCATTTACCTCGTCTGTTCTTAAATAATCATATACATCAGTGTCCATGAAACTTTTCCAATTTGAATACTTGCTATTTAATTGCTTGACTACACTTGACTCGGTCTCGCTCGTCTTTATTGGCTGTTGGTTTCCAACTTTACATAAAGTCAAATTTCTCGTCATCCGACATAAGAAATGGGTGTTTCAACGCTTCGTTAGCAGATGGCCTGTCTTCAGGTCGTAGATTTAACATCCAGAACAAAAGGTCTTTCCCTGCTTCATCCTTGATTTGATCTAAGCCAACAGGGTTTCCATTCAACATATTGTCCAGTATATGCCGTTTAGCTCCAAAAGAATGTTTACCTTTCGTGGCAACATAATAAGCCACCATTCCAGCATTCTAAAATGATAAACAATGTAAAATGCAAAAAATGAAATTTATTTGTACCTTGTAAATAGTCATATTCCTATACCAACCATTACATCAGACTCTTTCTTGTAACGTCCTTTATCAACTGTAGATGAATCTCGGAGAACATTGGAAGGCTTCAAATCCCGATGAAGAATAGGATTTGGGCCGCTGTGAAGATCAGCTTATCCTTTTAAAATTTGTGTAAGAATTTCTGGAAGAGCATTTTGAAGATCAGGCAAAGTAGAAAACTTCACAAAACTCTCCAATGATTCTTCGCATAAGTCTAATATTAAATAGACATAATCCGTTCCAGTATCCTCTTCTAAGTAGAAATAATTCACCACATATTTTGACTTCTTTGCGTTGAATTCATTCAAAATATTCTTTTCTTGTTGCGCACTCTTGATACAGTTATCTCTAAGTATTCGTTTTACTGCTTTGCAGTAACCATCCTTTCTCAGTCCCAAAAAAACACGGGTTTCGTTGCTTCCCTTGCCAATGCAAAACTCGTCGGAAAAAATCACACGTACATCACCAGCCCGTTTAATCTCGGTATTCCGATTGCGTCCATATTGAATCAACTTTAATGACAAATTTCTATGTTTTGTAGATTTATCGATGCATTTCCACTCAGGAAACTGCAATTCTTAAAATGACATAAAACTATTACTTTTAGAGGTGAGTGAAACGAAAATAATCTGAAGCATAAGTGTTACCCACTTTAACCAATGCAATACATACATGCAGTGCACTTTTTGGGAAAACAATGGGCAACATAACAACAATTAAACATAACATTAATTACTCAGTTATGCAATCAAATGATTCAAATATAATGACATTGGGTGAGATAAAAAATTAAAGCACAAAAAGACCTTTTCGTTGTAACTTTTCTGTTGTGCATAACGTATTGTTTTTCAATATATTTTGAGAGCTTTAAAATAAAAATTTGAGAGCATTTTTCTTGTGTCTAAGGTTATTCATTTTGTGGGAGAAGATATAACAAAATGGCTATCTTTAAAAAACATTTTTTTCTGTAATGTTTACTACAAAACTTTGACTGTTAGCTAATAATAAAGATTGTAACTAGTGCCTAAGACAATCGCAAAACAACATTTTTAAACTAAAATCACCACAATTTTCCATCTTTTCACAAGCCATGCACTTAGAAAAGTTTCTTATTTTACAACAAAATATGGACACTATTATTCAAACATAAACTTTACCTTCCGTTTGTACTGGACAATATTTCGTTAGTACCGTCGGAAAACCGATCTAGAGAAAACAAAATTTGATATACTTCTATAGTGAATATAAGTTGACTTGTAATCCAACAGTTTAAAGGCATAGAGCCAATTTAAAGTGGAGTAGAAAGCTCAGGCTTACAATGTGCTAAAAAAGGAACACACGACGAGAAATGAAAAAATTCATTTTGCCTTTCTGATTATTTTCAAATGACAATTTGAAACGTAAACCAAGTGTAAACTTAATTGCAACATAACAAGTATCTCTCATTTCCAGTCAAATGTTACAACTGTTCAATTTGCACCTTCTCAAATTAACCTTATCCATGTCATTAATCTCAAATAATCAACTTTGTCCAGCGACAAATAGGCTAAGTGCATGCACAAAAACGTGTTTGTCTGTACAAAAACATGTCTTGCCACGAACACAAACGTGTCATGCCATATCAATGAAATACACCGTTTTTCCATGCAAACAAAACAAACCTGTTCAGTCTTATAAAACTCCACAAGTTTTACCATACTGTCAAACATGGGCCCATCCTTTAGGCAGTACTTGCCATGGTCGACTAACATTTCGTAATTCTTTATTTCATTGCCGTGAATGAGTGATAGGATATAACTGTCAAAATGTTTGGGACTTTGGCGTATCATATAAACGCCAGATGGATTGCTTTTGTTTTACCGCCTTTAAGAGATTATCAACCATCTTTGCCTGTAAAAATATTTTCGTAAATGGTAGAGCAATGCAAAAATAATGATGATAAGTGAGGCAAATGCTGGATATTAACACAATACAGAAAAAATTGAGATGACAAGGAATGTTGACGACTGATACTGTGGTGGAGAATATAACACGGACTTACTATGCAAAATCAATGCTCATGAAAAACGTCTACCATACCAGGCATTGGCTAAGACAGCATAGATAATGGGGTATATACATATATATGTTACAATCCACAGAAAACACTCGATTTCAAAGTAACTTAATACGGCCAAACGTGAATATATGAATATTGCCCCAATTATCGAGCTTTCTACGCCACTGTACCACACTTCAATTTCACGATTTTTCATCGCCACAAATCAATCATAGATAACGTATTTATAATAGAAATGGAAATCTATTTCACGTATATTATTTCGAAAATAGGAATGTATTCACGCACATTTTAACAAAGTAGTTTTTTGTTAACTAGTACTTACTCAATCGGTCCATGGATCCCAAATTGCTGATGGAGTTTTGCAGATGATTTATTATGACCAGATCCACCTAAGGCAAAAAATCCAATCGATTAAACTTGAACCAAACAAAATCGCTCGCCATATTTTAAAGGAAATTCACAAAACTGATTATTGTCTAAAGACCACTGATCATTGATGCAAATGTACGTCATTGATTGTCACGGGCTCTAAACAATGTAATTACGTACATTTCATTAAGGTTGTATGGGTTCACAAGCAAACGATAAAAGCCATCAATCAATGTCATAAGACTTTTCGCTTTTATCATAGAATCCTCGACGAAAACGACCTACAATCAAATAAAAACTCACAAGAGTTATGTCACATTCAAGATCAAACATCGCTATGAGTAGTTGCTACACCATTAACCACGGAAAGAGTAGGGTAATACATTATTATTGAAGCAACAGTAATACCTCCGGAGACGAGTTCTTTCTAATTATGCGGATGCTGACTTCTCCAGACTGGGATTGATTTATGTCGAGACTTACAATGTCTTTATGATAGCAGATGATCTCTTCAACTTTACTGGATTCATAATTACTGCCGTACTAAACAATGACAAAAATTAAATACACACTCGAATTTCAGAGCATTTGGGCATTACCCTTTGACTGGTAAACCTTCTAAACATCCCTGTCATTCCTCCATACTATCACACCTTAAATCCACACACCGCCACCTTCGAGGATTTTAAAATACTTTCTTCATGCTCAGACTCACAAGAACTTCTTATTCACGAAAGCCTCTTAATCAACAAAATGAAACCATCTCTTAACGTCCAAGGAAACTCCATTGTCCTTCAGTTGCTTTAATCTAATTTTGACCGTCCTCATGTCTGTATACTTTATGATTGTTTGTGGGGTTTTTTTGTTTCTTTCGTGTTTCTACTTATCCCACGTCATACCATCTTATCCAATATTTACTAACACGTTTTTATCCCACCATGTAATTTAATATTACGAAAATAGCATTATGTATGTATCCCTCTATACTTGTAATTCAATATTGTCTGATGATGTCTTGAGAGTCAAGACGAAACGTTACACTTTTAAATAAATATTTCTTTTATGCATTAAATGGCTCTTTAAAAGCACTTTGCTGGGCTTTGATATTTATATTTAAAGTTCGCTTTCCGCCCGGTATATTTCGGTCACAGTTGTGCAGTATGTTTTCCAAAATACAATTGCGGTTATTCATTGCTTACACTGTTTCATGTTGGATTCTGCGATAGTGGCCTGACTCTGGAGACAGAACTGCTAACTAATTAACTTAATTTGTAACTACAGATAGCCTTTCTTTTAATTCTGCTCAAAGAGAGAATAATCGCAATGTATTGTGGCGTCGAATGTGATGGTGCTTGATCTTTTTACGCTAAGTTGATTATGGCGCTTTCTATTGAATAGGGCTAGGTAGTTTGAAATGGAAATAAAAATACCAACTGTAGAAACAGTGAAAAAAATGATGATATTTTTCATTTTATACACATCTGAAACAAAATAGCAAGAACTTCTTTAAACAGGACTTATAGCTACGGCGAAAGAATTCAACTGGATAAATACTATAGCTACTTTATGTGTTTCTCCTTGGAATAGCTACTAAGGGATTTTACGTAAAATTATAAACAGAGCTTATTAGTTTTTGCCACTAAACAATGATGTTCGTAATAATGTTTTACGTATGTTTTAATGTTTTTTAAAGCTAAAAATTAATGATTGCAAAAAGTGTTTGTGGCTGCACCAATTTACCTAATATGTGACGGGCATTTTTCGTTTTCGTCAAGCTGAAAAATATGAAAACTGCATATAATAAAATCTATAGTAATGGTGATCAATTAACTTCCGTGCCTTGTATGACGTAAAATGCGCTTTCATTAAACTCGCTTTTCTCCCGGCCATGATTAAAAATCCCAACATTTTGCATGTTTTGAACCAAACAGTACAAACGTTATCTTTATATGTTTGTAATGATGATCGTCCAGGAAAGACCTGAGAAGGATCTGTTTTGTTGACTGACGTTTCGATACCTCACCTTCAGTCTTCAGAGTCAAATGAGTAATTGAGCCTACGCCACCGTACTGGTGCGTACAGGAATGCAGGAAATGTGCAGGAAATATCATGGATTGTGTGAAGTGAAATATTTTATTTTAAGTGTGATGTGTGATTTGTGACGTTTTTGTAGTGTGTGGGTGTCAATTGCGTATTGTCATTGTGAATTAGTTTGAAGTGTAATGTTTTTGTTGATCGTTTGTTTGTATTGTGAATGTCGTTTGAAGGTGCCGTAATTCAGCAGGTGGTTTGTTCCGTATACCAACTTTCTAATGTACGTTGTCATAGTCAGCCAGATGCATTTGCCGAGTCCCAGTCAATGTTGTGCTTTGTGATTCGGTGATGTTCGGCAATGTGATTAGTTTTGTCTTGTTTCCAGTAGCTGTTTGTGCTCAGTAAGTCTTATGTTTGTTCCTGCCAGTTTCCCGATAATAGGCGTGGTAATGGAGCAGTTTATTTTGAAACTGTACCTGTCGTTTGTCGTCTTATGTTCGTTAGTACCGTAACGTTGTGACATGGCGCGAGCTATGATACGCGAGCGAATCTCGCGACGCCTTGATGGTACGTTGCGTTGTCACGAGTTGTTCGTTGTTAGGTCGTTGGGTTTAAATGTTGAAATTGATAAAGTCAGAGTTATAGTTGTTTTTTGTCAAAAACACGTTTGAGATAGTTGTTTCGTTCAGTAAGCGGGTGAATTACATGATGTGCACGTCCAGCATGTTCGATTATGGTGGTCGATGTGGGTCTGTGATGATTGGTCTAGTAGTCGGTCAGTATGTGTTGCTTTCATAAACTGTTGTTCGTGTTTTGATTGTCATGTTTTAACAAACAGTCGAGAAAAGGAAGACTTCCTTGACACCGGTATGTGGCTGTTCTGTTTGTTGATGTGAGTATAAGTCAATAATGTCGTCCATGTAGTGCTGTGATTGTGTAACAGCCCACGCAGTTATAGTAGTGCATTAAAGTCATGAGTGCCCGTTCCTCCATAGATTCATTAATAATTTCATAACTGCCAATAAAACGGCGAGCCCATGCTGTCCTCCATGTAATTGTTGGCGTCTTCATTGAAGCAAAAGTCGAGGCGAGGCAGAAGCCTGTTCTCCATAATGTCTTCTGTCGGTAATGGCAGTACGTTGCGGCGTTTGCACGAGCGCCAGCCGTGGCGAACAGTGATTCAAAAGACACTAGTATATATTGTCCGTATAGGTGCACAGTTTGTAATGAAAGTTTCAGTAGATTGTAGCTGGTGTTTTCGATTTGTTTGTTGTTCGTCGCGCTTTGAAAGTTCGGCAACCAATGAATGATACTAATTGTCGCATGGTTTGTGGTTTGTGAAGTTTTCAGTCTGTGGCAGGCGTGGTATGAACATCTGAGTCGATTGTAAATACGTTCAGATATAATGTTAGATTTCATAGAGAAGATCTTGCTGTTAAGTTTGCGTGTTGTCTCGTTTATTGTTCGTTTGTTCGTTAACAGTGCGTCCATTTTGTTAAAGTATCATTCTCATCCATGACCATGTCACGCGTCTCAAATGACGATGTTGTTGTCGTGTTTTAGTCGTTTGAGTGCTTGTTGTTCGTCTTTGTCGTTGTTGTTCACGCAGTAGACGACAAAAGTGAGGTTATCTGCTTCGATCCGTCTTTGGTTGTCTCGACAAGTCTCTTTGATATGCTAGACAAAGCCTCGACTGGAAATATTCGTTCAGTCGGGATTTTCAGTGTTATGGAACGTCGAACTGCAGATAGTAGTCGCGTTTCAGTTCTGTCTAATGGGCGGGAAGAAATACCTCACCCAGTTATCGTCATGTTTATGTCTCCACGGTTTTAGTTTGTTTTAAACGTGATACTTTACTTTCTACCATACAAACTATTGCAGAGAAACGAGCAAACAAGACAGAGACACAACACCAAATCAAACAACAACAAAAACTTGAACGTGGTGTTGTGTCTCTGTCTTGTTTGCTCGTCTGCATAGTTTGTATGGTAGAAAGTAAAGTATCACGTTTAAAACAACCAAACACATGCAAGACATAAACATGACGATAACTGGGTGAGGAATATTTCTTCCCGCCCATTAGACGAAACTGAAACGCGACTACTATCTTACGGACTAAAACATTCCATAACACCTAGACAAATCCCGACTGAGACGATAGTATCAAGTGTCGAGGCCACCGCGTATCAAAGAGACTTGTAGAGACAAACCAAAGACGATCAGAAGCAGGATGCCTCCACTTTACAATCGTCCTCTACGTGACAACAACTTGACAAAAGACGAACAACAAGCACTCAAACGACTAAAACACGACAACAACATCGTCATTTTACCAGCAGACAAAGGACGCACTGTGGTCATGGACAGAATGATTACTTTAACAAAATGGACGCACTTAACGACAGACAAACGTACGAACAACTCAAACGACCCAACACCATCACTAGTACGCAACTTAACAGCAAGATCTCTCTATGAGAAAATCTAACATTATATCTGAACGTATTTACTATCGACTCAGATGTTCAGTACCACGACCACCCAGACTATACGGACTACCAAAACTTCACAAACCACAAATACCCATGCGACCAATTGTATCATTCTGTGGTTCGCCTACTTATGAACTTTCAAAGTAATTTGACAAACACTGCAACCACTTACAAACAAATCAAAACACAAGCTACAATCTACTGAAACTTTCATTACAAACTGTGCACTATACAAATACCGGACAACTATATACTAGTGTCTTTTTGATGTGAAATCACTGTTCACCAGTATTCCACTTAATCTGGCACTTACTTGTACCCAAAACCCTCATTACAAACACCACGGACGTACTGCCATACCGACAGAAGACATTATGAGTTACTAGAGCCTGCCTCACCTCGACTTACTCCAATACAAAGGAACACACTACAAACAATTACATGGGACAGCAATGGTTTCGCCTGTTTCTGTTGTAGTTGCTGAAATTGTAATGCAATCTATAGAGGAACAAACTCATGACTTACAAACATGCACTACCTTTTGGTGTCGCTACGTAGATGACACAATCACAGCACTACATGCAGACGACATTAATGACTTCATACCACATCAACAAACAGAACATTATTATTAATTTACCAAAGATGTCGAAGAAAACGGAACTCTTCCTTTTCTCGACTGTTTGGTAAAACATGACAATCAAAAACTACGAACAACAGTTTATCGCAAGCCAACACATACTGACCGACTACTAGACCAATCATCTTACAACCCTACATCACACGAAGCCACCACAATCAGAACATTAACAAGACGTGCACAAATCATATGTGATTCACCGGACGCTCTACAAAACGAAAACAACTATCTCAAACGTGTTTTTGACAAAAACAACTATAACTCTGACTTTATCAATTTCAACATTTACAAACCCAACGAACCTAACGAAACGAACAACTCAGTGACAACAGCAACGATACCTTACATCAAAGGTACGTCTGAGACTATCTCGCGTATCTTACACTACACATACATACGTGTCGCTATAAACCAATCAACGTTACGACAAGTACTAACGAACATAAAGGACAAAGAACAACCTAACGAACGACAAGGTGCAGTTACAAAATAACTGCTCCGACTGCCACGCCTCCTATATCGGGGAAACTGGCAGGAACTTAAACATAAGACTTACTGAGCACAAACGAGCTACTAGAACAAGACAAAACTAATCACATTGCCGAACATCACCGAATCACAAGCACAACACATTGACTGGGACTGATCACTCTACAGTACTGACTATAGAACGGCTTACATTAGAAAGTTGGTATACCAACTTGAACAAACCCCCTGAACAGATCACAGCAATTACCGGCACCTTACAAACGACTTATTCACAATACAAACAAACGATCAACTAAAACATTACACTTCAAACTAATTCACAATGACAATACACAATTGACACCACACACTACAACTAAAACGTCACACCTAAATCACACATCACAACTAAAAATAAAATATTTCACTTCACACTAATCCACAATGACAATACACATTTCCTGCACATTTCCTGTATAACAATACAATGACGTAAGAACCAGACAACAAATACGGCTAACCTGACGTTTACTCCTCATTTGACTCTGAAGATGACTACCGCTAAGGTTGTCGAAACGTCAGTCAACAACAATAAAACAGTCCTTCTAGGACTTTATTAACCTGGACGATCATCATTTACAAACATATAACGATATTCCCCGGGTTCAAACCATTTACTTTAAACGTTATCTATCGATCAACTATATTATTTGAAATGTTTTTGACAGACCACCTTGGTGAAAAATGGTAATATACACATTACAGAATTTATATTCAGTGTATTGGTACGTACTCTCTTCTGGTAAGTACGTCTTTTTTAACGCCATTTGGTGATATCAGAATCTTACATTCTACAGGCAAGACTTTATCTACGAAGGAGCTTGGTAATAAAACTGAAACAAACAATAATCATAGCATATTCAAAATAGTTTTAAGAGCAGGAAGTATTAGTAAGATGATACCATTTTCACCAGAATATTTATAACACCAAAATCAGGAACACGCTCAAGGACATACAAAACGAGATTTTCGCGTTGTCTACATTTGTTTGCTAGTTTTGAACTGTGGGAGTTGTGTCTTCAAATGAGATCGTATTTTTTTGGCTTGTAGTCGTTACTCACAAACAAATGAGCAATACCATATGGCATTTCCTACAAATATATACTTTATAGATAAAAGTATTTCTTTACAGCTCAACCCCATTCACGTGAATGAGTTTATACACCAGCATTGCTAGCCCTGATGGCCATTTGAAAAACAACAAAACAAACAGTTCATAATGTATGAGTACATTTCAAAAGTGGATCCAATTTCTAAAGAAAGATCTCAACAACCTCAACTAGTTACATGAAAATAAAATAACCATGTACCTCAACGGTTTGTCAAGAACTTTGGCAGTTATGTTTTTTTCGTGAGCTTGGATTATTGACTCAAGAACTAGCAAAGTGAGATGATCTTTCCAGGACAAGTTGTCCACTCTATGCTTGATGTAATCCCATCGACACTGTAGGTTAGTGATAATCATTATGCATTTGTCATTAAATAACTTAACAAAGAACATAAAGTCACTTACAATTTGATGATATATGCTAATAAGAAAGGTGACCAAAATCAATAACACTTACAAATTGAGGTAAGCCAGCAAATGACCTCAAACCAGCACAAAGGCAAGCAAAAAGTGTTATTTTTGAAAATACATACACAAAATTACAGTTGTTACCTGCATGACAAAGTATTCAAATGTAGCAACATTCACAGCTTTTAAATAGAAACCAGGAACAGCTCTAAATGCAAGCCGAAAGAAAAAGACCTGATTGGAAATGTCTTCCGATTATTATATGGTTGGGATTATAATAATGATCTTTTTGTCTGTCACATTTTTCTGTTATCTGGCATTCGATGTCAAGGCAGTGTTCACAGTCTGTTGTCATAAGTGTGAAGAAATGTAAAGCCATAGGAGCAATGTCCAATTTCTTGCAAATTTCAATGCATACATCCTGTTTTCAAAAAATATGCAAGTTATTCATGCATAAAAAAAAAATTGAGGCATTTGTTAAAATATCTTAATTGGAAAGAAACCTAGTTGATTTCTGAAAGTCTTGATTGCAATCAGATGTTGAATTATTTAATAATTTTTACACCCTCCAGTCTAATGTCTTCCTCAGAATGATCTGTTGTTGAGTCTTAGGTCTTTATATACTTAATTCAAATGTCTTCATTAGGAAAGATCTGAGGTTGAAACTTGAGTTCTTATTTATTCCAGTCTAGTGTCTTCATCATCAGGATTGATATAATGTTAAAACTTTATTCCTTATTTAGGTACTGCAGTCTAGTGTCTTGATCAGAGTAATCTGATGAAAACCTTGATCTCTTATGTACATACTGCAGTGTCTTGTCTTGTTTATTTTTATTTAAAATTTTAAATGACCACAATGTATTACTTAGCCAATAATCCCATTTTAGAAAGTAAAATATAAACTATTAGGCAAGAAAATTCAAATAGGTGAACTAACATATTCTATACAAATTATTCTTGACTATTATTGTACCTCTGGGAGTTGAATTGACTTGCACATGAATGATGTAAGTAGTAAATTAACAGGAAATAATTCGTTTAAGTATCAAATTTATCGCGATGATGGAAGCAACCAAATCCATTTTACAATGAATTTGTCGCAGGTATAATAACACAGGTCCAACAAAAGTCGAGTAATTTGTATAGGGGAGACATTTTTTGGAATACCCTGTACAAACTATATTTTTTCTCATTGAAAACACGCGCAATTATGTAGCTACGATGTCTCAATGCTTTACATACTTTGACACGCAACTCAGGCGTCTATTCTATGGTAAAGAATTCACCATTTGCTAAACAAACTTTCCCACGTCTATCCACTGGTCTTTCGAATGACATAATTTGTCCACAATTCCCAATATTTTCAGAGCTAGATAGCCACACGAACTTTTACAACTCTCTTACATACTGCCATTGGAAATTTATGCAAAAATGAGCAGGGGGTTTCCAGAAATGAATTTTAATGTTTTTTTGAACTAAAGATAAAATTCCTGAATTTTCCTGCGAAATCCTTTACAATTCCTATAATATTCCCGAGCTTTTTCACAAATAGGATTCAATGAAATTGTTTTTTGGCTTTGTCCAAATAAGCCAAAAAACTCATTTTATTATCTAAACGAGGTATTTAAAACAACATAAAATAGCTAAGGTGCCTCGGAAGAATGAGAAATTACGAAACAGGTTTTCGGGATGAAATTATAATTTTCGTGATTTTCTTCTTCCTTACAATATATAAAACAAATTCCAAAACGGACATCTCGTTTTCTTGATATTTAAGATAATACAAGAGTTTAAAACAAAAGATGGTGTAATATTTCGTCTATATTCCAAAGACATCATCAGACTAATAGTTTACAATGCAGGCTGCAAACTTTTATATAATTATTACAAGCGGAAGTGACAGTTACGTAATTAGAGAACCTTTATAGGTTCTAATACAATCCATAAAATGTGTAACCGTATTGTCCTGTGTCCCAAGTGCAAGAGTCACCATTGCACTGTGGTGATAGCTAATTTTAGGCACACAGGCTGCGCAAATTTAGTATTTTCTTACTTTGGTAGGACTATATTGCTTATTGTTGACGATTCTATTCAGATTAAGACTCACCAATGTATGCCTAAATTCGTGAGCGCAGAGGTCTCACGTGGCAAGTATTTCTTGCCATTACATTACACGTACGTACATAATATAACCAAAAATCATTTGATATTCTCAAACAGTTATACTAGATTATAAATAATTGTTTCTAGGACTACAAGATCACTTCTGAGAGCTTATACATATATATTGTCTACTTGTAATAATACATTAAATGTACTTTTATCCACCTTCTGAAAAAATCCACAGACACACAGAAACAAATCGAGATTTCACCAGCATCTCAGTCGGGCGAAAGACTAGGCTGAGTCATCTCACGATTAGTGTGGTGCCGAGCATGAGTGAGGCAGCAAAAATACAAATATATAATAACGTATCATAATATGTATAATACGTTACTCCATTCTTATGATCCTGAAAGATCGTGGTTTCTCGTTCGTGACTGTCCATGAATGAATTATATATGAATCATTCATTCCTCTTTGTGTAGTTTTCTGACAAATGGTCGTTTTAGTGTCTATTGTTTGCTGTGTAATCAATGATTAATACGACCGATATATCAAATAATTCCCTTTAAGTGCGCCAACCTTCGATAAAACAAAGTACACAGCACTTGAAAGAATAATGTAAATCACTGAGGATATGATGCTTGTCCAAAGATTTGCAAAATGTAACTTTACCTCAAAGTAAAATCAAGACTGATAAATTAAATGATCACTGTATAAATATAATGGAAATTCACTAGGAAAATGGAATGTTTGCCTGTTGCTGATACTAACAATATAGAATATTGAACTCATTAATTTGAGGGAGGGATACTCATATATTCATGTTTTACCGTATCAAGTTTTCTGAAATTCATTATGTTTTGCTGATTATGAAATTCAAATATGAATATGACCTCCAGTTATCGAAATTGCTACGACATTGATACAACACTAAGCTTCAAGAAAGCATAATGCATCTGCATGGCTTGCACTTCGTCTGTCACTTCAGCAATTGCAATGCTAAACCCAAGTGGAAAAGTTTTGGATGGTCTTTATATTTTTCATATTAGGCGTTTGGGGTGCGCAGTAATTTATTTCTTAAATAATGTTTCTTTATTTTACAAAAAATGTATTATTTGTGAACCAATTTTTATTTACCTCATTAATACATTATATGTGCTATATATAAACCTAAATAATACATTATATGGTAAATAACGCAAAGTAAAATCAAGTAATTTCATGGCATTTACTTAACACTGTATAATTGTAGACAGGCAATATACAGGGTGTATAAAAGTTGACTTTCTAGAAGTTCTTTGAACAAGTTGTAAGAGGGTAATAAGCAAAAACATTTAGTGATTCTGAGACTTTAAGTTTTACGCAAAGCTGGCAGCTGGACGTTGAAATTCCTAAAAACGCAAGTTCTTTACTATCGAGAGAACTCGTGATAAAACTCCATCAAAATAAGTTTGGGTAATCAATATCTATCCTGAAAATCACCAAAAGCAAAAAATAATATTAATTATTCTATATTTTATAAAGTTAATTTAAACTCACCAGAAATGTAGTTACGTGGCATGCAGTGCAGTATATTCTTCAAAAATTCATGTCACCACCTATGTAATTAAGTTCCTTTGAAATGAATGGTCCTTTGCAAATTATAACAAGTATAAATAAATATTATCCACCCTATTATTAAGGCTTAAGCAACGCCACTATCACAATGAAAATATGGTCATAAAATATGGTTCTACTTTACATTCAAATACGAAGATCCTTCCCTTCAAACAGGCCAGGTTTTGCTTGCCTTAAATTATTCATTTATAAGGTTCGCTCTTGTTGAAATTAAAAAAGTTCTTAAGTTCTGCATTGGTTTTCAATTTGTCGTTTGACTTGACAGCAGTGTGCACCCGAAAAGAGAGATTGGGAAAAGTGTTGAGAAAATACGCCTTGTGATCACCAATCTTATAAAATGTTTCTTGTTGAGGTCGTGGACGATCGTACCAAAACTGGACAATATTTCGAACTAGTCTTAAGCAATCAGTCCAAGAAGATGCATACTTATGAATTTTTCGATTCACTTCGTCTGTTGCAAAATAATCATACACATCACTATTTATTTGACTTTTCCAATGTGATGAGTGACTAATCAATTGTTGAACGACACTTGATAGGATATCATTTGTTTTAATTGACTGTAGGTTTCCAATTTTACATAAAATTCAAATGTGTCGTCATTCGCCATAAGAAATGGACGTATTAACGCCTCATTAGAATATGGTCTGCCTTCAGGTCTTAGACTTAGCATCCACGATAAAAGGTCTTTTAGATTGTCATTCTTGATTTCATTCAAACCAGAAGGATTTCCTTTTAATATGTTGTCCAATCTATGCCGCTTGGTTCCAAAAGGATGTTTCCCTTTTATTGCAACATAACAAGCCACCATTCCAGCATTCTAAAATAATATAAAAATTGTAATGGAAACAAAAAAATCTCACAAAATTGAGTATATATATGATATGCAAATGTTAACATTCTGACACCTACATATACATCAGATTCTTTTTTGTAGCGTGCTGTATCAATGAAATATTAATCTTCAAAATATGGCTCAGAAGCAACCCAATACTCAGTTCCCCTGTTAGCTTTGCTTTCATATGTTATTGATGCATTCTTCAATATTCGACTAATACCAAAGTCAGCTATCAGAAATTTGCCTTGAAAGTATTGGAAAGCTTTAAATCCCGATGAAGAATAGGATTTGGACCGCTTATAAGATTAGCTAATCCTCTTTGAATTTGTTTGAGAATATCAAGAAGAGCTCTTCGAAGATCATGTAAAGTACAATACTCCACAAACTTCTCCAACGATTCTTCACATAAATCTAATTTCAAATAAATATATTCCATTCCAGTATCCTCTATTAAGAAGGAATAATTCACAACATATTACATGTTTTATGCGTTGAATTTGTTTAAATTCTTTTTTGTTGTGCAAGCTCGATGCAGCTATCTCGACGTATTTGTTTCACTGCTTTGCAATAACCATCCTTTCTCAGTCCGAGAAAAACACGGGTTTCATTATTTCCTCTGCCGATACAAAACTCGTCTGAGAAAATTACACGTACATCACCTACATGTTCAACATCGACGGATTGCGTCCATATTCAATCAACTTTAGCAACAATTTTCTATGCGTTGTAGATTCATCAATACATTTCTACTAATGTAACTGCAATTATTAAAATAAAGTCATTGCATTCAGGGGATAATTGAAAGGAAAACAATGTCTAAAATACATAAGTATAGCCCAAATCTACAAAGTCCACACATTTGGATACGGAAAGCACATTTTGATAAAACAACAAAGCAAGTGAAGCAGGATTAAGATAAAATCATACATGCTAAGTTTGAGGGTTGACTGATAGACATCAAGTTCGTTCTGTTGTAATTCATGCGCCTTTTTTGTTTGTTGATAAACTTTGGGTGTTATTTGCAGAGCACGGATATGATTGAACACGTCTATATTTTAACGACAGAATTGTTGTCATCAATCTTATCTTAGATATTCTAATAATTTTACAATACCAAAATTTTACTGTTGAAAATAATATTGCAATGTCTGTTTAAAAAGTTGTCGCTTTGATATTAAATATTTTAAAATAATAATGTAAATTTGTTCTACAGTTTATCAATAATTAGTTGCTTGTCCTTCAAAATTACATCATATATAGTTATGTTAATGTATTATTTCTAAAATCTTTACTTTGCAAATATTTATATTTTATGTATATATGACATTGCCTGAGTATATGCCGTGCAATAAGGCTATGATAATTTCCTAGTATGTGTCTTGTCCAAATGAAGTCATACAACTTTTCTTTCTCTTTCTTCTCTTCCAGCTGTTTGTCTTAAATCATAGCAAATAATTTTCTTTCTACTAAGATCCTAAATCATTTTTGTTCTACTGTGTCCTCGTTTATCATGGCTTCCTCTTTAGCCCTTCTCTAGACTCCAACATTGTAGTTCTCAATTAGTATCTCTTGATATCTACCTTCTCTTGACTTGCCCTTAAAACATTTAACATGTGCTTCACCTATGATATAATGGTTATTATATTTTATTTCAGTCTCTCTCTCTCTCTCTCTCTCGATTTGCTTCCTTTTGTTTTCTCATTGTCACTGTTTGGAAACCATAACATCGTTGGTGTCACTACGGCTTTGTACGGAAACCTTTTTATCCCTGCTGACAATCTAAAAGAGCAAAACACACCTTTTTCCACCATATCCAACGAGGCTGCACACACTTCTTTACCTATTTTTGATATCCTTATATATCACTAAGAAATTTGTAAACATCAGAGTTCATAGGGACTCCCGTCTAACCTTCTCTGGTACTCTGCTATCACCATGGCAAACTAAAGCAGTTTAGGGCTTATCTTTAAAACAATCTAACTTTTACATCAAATAACCTTGTCTATACTGCATGAAGTCTCTACAGGGGAAGGAGAGGAAATTATGGTGAGAGAATGCTCATATCGCCCTAATTTTTTAACCCTCCTCCATAGAGACTGAACAAAATCCAAACTCATACAATACCATAGTTACTCTTTCAGCAGCATGGATATCGAATATACATTATCAAAGACTCAGTACTTTTCATTTAACAACCTCGGATAATAGTAATTCTGTGTACTCTTCTTGAAATCAAAGCGTCCCCTGTCTATTTTACTTTACTTGTTATTTTCTGATTACCAAGCCGTTCAAATAGACAGTGCTGGTAAGAAATGAATTTGTTTTAATATTTCTCCTGCAAGGATAAAACTGTCCTCAGTGATCACTGAACGATGATCAAAGCTTGGATGTGGTAAGACTTCCAACATTGAAGTTAAATTGTAGTGATGAATTTGTGTACTAAAGATCCTTTTTACGATTTGATGACCGTCTCAACTCTTAAAGGGTGCCTGACTAGTCCCCTCGATCATAATTACATCGTCTTTACGACAAACATGTTATGATATGCGGAACCAAGACTCGATTGCTCTCACTGTGCACTTTCAATGCTTAGCTGCTCAACACTCTAAAGAAAATCGCCTCCCAACAATCCCCACAAACAAATATCTAACCACAAAAAGCAAAAGCAGCTATAGCTTTGCGATATTTAAACATTGGCTCTTCAGGTTCCCAACAATTCCTAAGAAAGTTGAACGTCTCCACAGAACTGAACGTGATCAGTCCGTTTTCTCCTCCACAAACAAAAACTTACACATTTCAAAGAAAACTTAATAGAATGATTTAGCAAACACGATGTTAAGTCTAAGACGTCGCCAAATTTTCGCGAGTGATTTAAGTCTAAGACGCCACCACGTCGTAAAGTATTTGTAATTTAGCAAACCTTTTGTAGGACTTCGTCAAAGAATAGTATGAAACAAGTCTTCTATCAATTTCGGCATTTTCCGGCTGCATCGTTTTTTCTATCATTTTAAACTATTTTTTTTCTATAAAAATTTCCAGCAGTATTGTTTCAAAAAATATATATAAAAGCAAAATCATCGACATACGGCTTTTTGAATAAAATTGTTTTGACTCCAAGGAAACCCTTCCAAGGAATCAGAGCAGCTCCAAAGAATCAGAGCAGGCTCCGCATTGTTTGTTTGTTTGTTTTTTACGGTTTAGGAAACAAAACATTCGCAGTTTTTACTTTAGATAAAGATATGTATGCCTATATAATATTTTAAGATGCAAGTATGAGTGACAAAAATGGAGTTTCCGCCGTCGTCGATACGACCATAGGCAGCCCAATAAATCACTAAATTGTATAAACAAACAATAACTCGGCCCATTCCATTGTAACAGACCGTGCGCCGGAAATTTTTATTAAGTGATTATGTATATTTTATATATTTACCAAAGTTAAAACTATCATCGCAGTTACGAGCACATACCTTTATATAAAGTAATAATACCTAAAAAACAAACATAAATTTAAAATAATAATTATATCACTAAAAAATGAGATCATTTCTCTACATGAATCCATACTTAACTTTTAAAAAAGACGACTAAAACCTGAAAAAATATTCGTGAACTTTTCAATTTGTTTGAAAATTTTTCTGTCTCCATGCTGGATGCCTTGAAGTGGTGAATACGCCATTACTTTCAAAAAGAGACTCAACTGCAATTGGCTAATTAAGTTTCTTAATTTTTAAAAAATACAGCATTCAATTTTCACATAAGTTATTTCAGGTTGAAGCTGTGTTGATATTTTCTCTTTCAAAAATGATTTAGCACTGTTTTTACGCCCAAAATTATTTCCATTAAGAAAGTGACGAGCGCAATTAAAAACAGTCTAAATAAAAAAGATGTGCGTATGTTAATAAGTTGAAACGAGATTATCGTAGATTAATTTCAATCCGAGAGCGCAGCTTCAAAATTACAGCAAATGGTTTCAGTTTTATTCAATTGAATGAGTTTAGTTATTACAATACCATAATTAATGTGCTACGAAATGATGTAATAAGTTGTGATTATTATCTTCGTTGCTATGATGGTTTTTATATTGGGTGAAGGTACATTACATCATCTATATCTTAAACATGCAAAATTCAAAAGTAAATATCTTTAAACTTACCCTAAAGTCTATTCAAGAATTAAAAGTTAATAAAGTATAAATAATTACGTTGAATACATTAAATTCACCAAGAACGTTTTTATGTATTATCAGAAAAAAATTGTTTTGTATTAATGCAAAGAAGATCTTTCAAAACTGTATCTTCGATTTTGTACTTGCCAATTGTCTTTCAAAAATTGTTTTGCAGTTTAACAACTGTATATTAAAATCTTTTTATTTTGGACGGTTTTTCAATTCGTCGTTTGACCTGACAGCAACATGGACACGAACAGGGAGATTGGGGAATGTTTCGAGAAAGTATTTCTTGTGATTTCCATACTTATAAAATAGTTCTGGTAGAGAACTTTGCTTTGATATTTTACCCCAATGTTGATCAGTATTTCGAATAAGTCTTAAGCATTCTGTCCATGAAGAACTATACCTATGTTTATCATCACGCACCTTATCCTTTCTTAAAAAGTCATATACTTCACGATCTATTTTACTTTTCCATTCTGAATTTTCGCTATCCAATTGTTTAGCGACACTTGACTGGGTATGATTTGTCGTAGTAGGCAATTCGTTACCAACATTACATAACAAGTCAAATTTCTCGTCATCTGACATCAGAAATGGGTGTTTTAACGCCATGTTAGCAGATGGTCTGTCTTCGGGTTTCAGATTTAACATCCACGACAGAAGGTCTTTTAAGCTTTCATCCTTAAGTTCCTTGAAGCCAACAGGGTCTCCATTCAACATGTTATCCAATCTATGCCGTTTCGTTCCAAAAGGATGTTTCCCTTTTGTTGCAACATAATAAGCCACCAGTCCAGCATTCTAGAATAATATAAAAGTTGTAACAGCAACAATACAATGCCGCAAAATTGAGTTTATGTACAATACGTAAATGTAAACATTCCTACACTTACATATACATCAGATTCTTTTTTGTACCGTCCTTTATCAATTGAATCTTCAACCTCACAATATGATTCAGGGGCTATCCAATACTCGGTTCCCTTGTTAGCCTTGCTTTCATATGTGTTTGTTTCATTCTTCAAAATTTGACTAATACCAAAGTCTGCTATAAGAAAGTTGCCTTTTGAGTCTAAGAGAACATTGGACGGCTTCAAATCTCGATGAAGAATAGCTTCTTGTCCACTGTGAAGATCAGCTAATCCTTTCAGAATGTTTTTAACAATTTCTGGAAGAGCTTTTTTAAGATCTTGCAAAGTAGACGATTTGACAAAATTCTTTAGTGAGTCTTCACATAAGTCTAATATCAGATACACATATTCAGTTCCGGTACCCTCGTCTAAGGAGTAATAATTGACAACATATTTTGACTGCTTTGCGTTGAATTTACTTAAAATTTCCTTTTCTTGATGAGCTGAATCAATGCAGTTATCTCGAAATATTCGTTTCACTGCCTTGCCGTAACCATCCAATTTCAGTCCCAGAAAAACTCGGCTTCCATCACTTCCTTTGCCAATGCAAAACTCGTTTGAGAAAATCACACGTACATCTCCCACAATTTTACAAAATTCTCCATTCGGCCAAAATTGGGTCATTTTAGAAAACATTTTTTTATGTTTTGCTGATTCACCTATGTATTTCCACTCTTGCGATTGTGATTCTTAAAACAGATATAAAAGTATTATATCCAAGTAAACGAATGCAATTAAATACATAATATTAGCTCAAAATTCTTTACTGAGCACTCAGGATTTCGATACTGTACATTTTAGCAAAAAAAACGTACCATCAACGATTAAATATGCTAAATATTCTCAGATATGCAGTCAAATCTGTTAATATTGTAAGATAGCTTAAACTTTAAAATTAATGGTTTGTCTAGTCACAACTTTTTTTGTGATATAATGAGTTACATGTATTGCTTCTGTGTTTCTTTCCAATAATTTTTGATGATAGTCACATGTAAATTGAAACAATAAACGTTATGCTGTTCTTCTTGATTTCGTTAACGGTTCTACATTGTGTGTTGTTTTTTTTTTGTTTTAGTAACAGCTGAAAACGTGTTTTAATAGAAGTCCTCTAAGAAAAGATTTAGCTGTACTGTATTGTTCAGCTACCAACATAACACACAAATGACAATATTTAAAATTTACTGAGCAAAAATTTCCCAATCTTGTCAAGCTATTCTGTAGTAATAACCATCAAACTAGTATATCACATGATATCAAGAATTGTTCAGTCAATGTTATGATACGAAGCTGTTACTCAACCTCATCAAATAATTGTTTGATATGACATCATACTTAAAAATATCGAGAATGAATTGCAGGTAGTTGACCAAGAATTATTCGATTATGGTCAATGTTACAATTCTTGATGTCATGCGAAAACTGAATTTAATGATTGTTTTATTATACAATTATAAATTCAACAACATTGTAGCGATGATAAGAGAAATTATCATGTGGTATGTTGTATGATTTTAGCAACTGTAAAAACGCCGTCTTGTGTCATGATAAAATACGCAATTAAAACAATTTCACTTAAAAATGAAAGGTTAAATGATTCAATAAATAGAAATTTTAGAATTTTGTTGCAAATATAGTATAAACATTATATTAAACTATAAATTGTCGTTCGTATTCTGCGTGTAAAATAATATTGATATTTTCAAGGTGGAGTCTTACAAAATTTTATTACTTACTTGGCCTTTTTCTGGAAAGCTCTGCAGTGAAGTGAACTTCATTATCATTCTTTTCTGACTGATATGGCAAACATTCCCTTTTTTTAGAATCTACATTAATGCAGTTATTTGAAATGTACAATTAGATAAAAAATATCCAATTAAAACAATTTCGTTAACAAATGACATTTAAAAAGGTTCATTAACTTAAATTTTAGAATTCTGTTTCAAATATAATTATAAACATCATATTAGACTATAAATTGTTGTTCGTATTCTGCGTTTAAAATAATTTTAAGATTTTCAAGGTAGGTCTTCCTACAAAATTCTATTACTTACTTGGCCTTTTTATAGAAAGCTTGGCAGTGATTCTTTTTTAGAATCTACATTAATGCAGTTATTTGAAATGTACAATTAGATAAAAAATATCCAATTAAAACAATTTCGTTAACAAATGACATTTAAAAAGGTTCATTAGCTCGAAATTTTAGAATTTAATTGACATATAACAGTTATAAGCAACTTAATAGGCTATAGATTGTTGCTCGTATTCAGCGTTTAACACAGCACTTTAAAATTTTCAAGGTAATAGCTTTTTATAAAATTCTATAACTTACTTGGCCTTTCTCCCGAAAGCTTGTCAGCGATGTCAACATCATTATCATCCTTATCTGATTGATATAGCGAAGATTCCCTATCACCAGAACCTACGATAATGCAATTAGTCTTAAATCACAGAAAAATAATGTAATTACCAAAACATCTCACGTGATTAAGACATTATGTGAGGTGTGATTGGTGGAAAGCGTGAAGTCTGCTTCCTGAAGATCTCATGCTAAAAAAATGTCTCTATGTTTACAATAATACCTACTGTTATATGATAAATAATCATGGCATTGATAGAATTTATAGGTGCCAATCTTGGGCTGTTTGTAAATTACGTAAAATGTATTTAATATTGTCATTGCGAACCGTTATCGAAAGAAGGCCAAATCACTGCTTCGTCGCTGTAGTCTGAAATCAAAGCTTCCTTGAGTTTTTTTCCATGATTACGGTCTCGCACCCTGGCCACAATCTTGACCTACATATGATAGAGGAAGGAGGTATCGAAATTATAAGCTGAAATTTCGGACAAATTGAGAGATCATGTACAATGATTTCTTATGCATCATCCTCACTATAAAATAAGCACTTATACACGAAGATCAAATTGATGTAATATAGTTACTATGGTAAAGACATCTTATATATAAAATTCCCTATGCTGATCATGCAATGCATTACCTGGACGCTGAATACACTTGAAAACAACCAAGCTCTTTCGTAGAAAATATCTTTAACGTCTGCTCCAACACTGGCCACCAGTTGAGTGACATCAGCTATCGCTCCAGGTCTGTCACTTACTGTGACCACGAAACGCACCAAACGACCATCAGCGGCCAGGCCACGATCCAAACACCTTCCCAACACAATTGAATCAATGTTTCTACCACAAAGAGCAATGACAACCCTAAACACGACATTAGAGCGTTATATTCATTTTTTTAAAAAAATAGTTTCTTGTAAAATAAGGGGCATCAAGCAAATACACAATAACTCAAGAACATGTGATCAAAACATTAGACATTCTAGACTGGAGTATATAATATCACAAATTTCAACATAAGGTTACTACCAACAAATAGTCTAGAATGTAAAATAAGCACTCAAATTTTAATATCAAACTAGTCTGGAAGCAAATATTAGACTGGATTATAAAAAGATACAAGTTTCAACATGAGATCACTCTTAATGAAGAAACTATATTAGAGTAAATAAAGAATTAAGTTTTAGCATAACTTTGTAAAGGCATTATTTACAAAGCGTGTGTAACGAGTACGACAAGTTTAAAAAAACATTCTTCGACTTCTTATAATGCCATCCTTAAGACGAGGATATATTGCATACAATACATGATGTAAGTAGTAATATTATACATTGATAGTTTAAGCAATTGTAAGTAGATTATTAAGCCCTTATTAACCAAGCTCGAGGTTTTTACCGAGAAATATCCGACCGAAGTTTGTTTACATTTGACTCTAGAAAATACATTTTTTAGACCGTGATACATTACAGAAAACAATGGACCAGCAAAAATACTTCTAAGTCAATCAAAGCGCTTCATTTTGGCAGAAGTGACATTATTGCCATATAATAGATATTGAATAATGCAATATAATATTGGTTTGAATTAATGATAAATGTATTTACATATTGTGTTAGTTTTATCAATTTGAAGTGATGCTTTAATTTTAAATGAAAATGTAGTTTATGCAGTGTCAATGGTTTTAAAACAAGATGATAAACATCAAATCTCTTCTATTACGCAACTCTTTCCCACTAGATGTCCACTTCATAAACAGAAATGTCAAAAGATACCTGAGAAAAAATTGCAAAGTAAACACCAAATACTAATTGCAAAGTAAACACCAAAACTTGCGATACAACAACCACGACCGTCAACAGGGAATAATCCATAAAAAATCGACATCAAACTACCATTCATCAAACATCATTCATGACACACACAACGCAGACTTATAAACATTATTGCTCCATCAAGTTTTGTTTTGCTTCATTTATATTATATAAAGTAATTGATTATTCATGGCGTTCAGCTTGAGATCATTATCAGTTACTGTTTTCAAGCAAGAGGCTCGGGGAAAGCTCTTGAATTGTGCAGAAAATGAGGTATATTTTATGAGTTATTTGTTTCAATTAATAGTTGGGTTAGCACAAATGTAAGTAAGGATTGGGAGGGATTTATCTTAAGTAAAATAGTACATCGTTCATATATTTTATACTTTATTATAGCTTCAGATTACTAGTTTAAGTATAATATTGGAACAAACCGTTGTAGTTTGCTGCACCGTCGTCTACGCTATCGGTCTAATTATCAAACATTACCAACAAATTTTCACTTCGTCCAAAATCAAAAATTACTGTTCATTCAAATATCCTATCTCTAATTCTTTTCATTGGTGACACACCAATTTGATTTTGATCTCACTTACAAGCAGAAAAGCATTTCACATTAACAAAACTTACATTAATCTTAACGTTCAAGTTTTAACACTATACTCAGTCTCTAAACACATTCATCATTTCCTCAAAGCAATACTTTATTGTAATATTTATATGTAATAAACTCAAATCCGCATAAGCTATAACTGTATCATATTACTCTTACTATATGTATTTTACCATGCTCTGACCACTCCTGATCAAGATACTAAAGCAGAATATATAAAAACAAGACGAAGACACTAGACTGGAGTATATGAGGTCTTAAGTTTCAACATTAGATCAATCCTAATAAAGACACAAGTTTGACATTCAACGGCTTTTTCTCTTTTGAAAAAACGGAAATCGATAGAGGAAAATACTCAACAATAGACATTTTACGAATTAAATCTTAAAAAAATTACACCTACTTTTTTTCTTTTAGTTCAGGCACTTGTTCTGTAAGGCAGACAGCAAGACCAACTGCACCAGCACCTTCAATTGTAACTTTCTCCTCCTCGAGCAATCGTAGTACAGCTAGTGCGATGTAATCTTCACTGTGTGTAAATTAATAATTTAGTACAAAGTTCAAATATTGACTCTTCCTTAGAAACTCTATTTTGATATAACTTTTACAAAACATGGAATATTTAAATAATATAAGCATTTTCTGGAGAAAAATTCAATTTTTTTGAAAAAAAAGTAAATGGTTTGAAGCAAGGAGTATTATTACATGTTTGTAGATGTAAATCGGCCAGGTTAGTTGACTTGTTAGAAGGACTGTTGTTGTTGATGTTCACTGACGTTTCGACACCAATAGTCCATACCAGGATTCTACTAACCTGGACCCCCTACATCTACGAACATGTTTTTTAAAGTATGCTATAATGAGAATATTACATATTAAAAGCCTACATATAATATTTTTTAAAGAACTGAAAAATTATGATAAATTAAACTGTAAAACTTGCTGTCATGCTAACGAGCCTTGCGTTTAAAATATACAGAAGCATTATGTTCAAAAGGTAAATAACTGAAGATAAAGCACTAGAGCAGATGCAAACCCTTTAATGATAGGCACTTATTGAATTTCAAGAAACTGCATGCATGAATGAAAAGTGAACGTAATATCATGTGTTAAACTATTCTTTATTTCTTTGTCAATACTTACTGTACTGTGATCATTCTATCAATGTGAGGTTTTGCTGTATGAAAGGCATTTATGCCAACTTTCGAAACGCATAAACCTGCAAAAGAATATGGTTTTTTCAAAGATGATTTAACTATTTCCCACCAGTGACATACGTTAAACACAAGCAGTTAGTCCGTGATGCTTCAGTGGCACTCTAATTATCTAACAGTTAGTTTTTAATTTAACGATTCCTACCCCAAACATGTTTCTTTTTGTTCAATGATTTATAAAAAGCCAATACAACCTTACCTTACAGTTATTTTAGGATTTTCCAGTAGCCAATTAAAATTCAGTCACATTATTAAAAAACTATCACCGATGATATGATAGCTAAGTTATTGATTTACTGTTCACCAACTACATTATAGTTACGTCAATATTTTATTGTTATCTTTAATGACATGAAAAAAGAAAGTTAATAATTTACCATCAGCCAATGTTATCTCCTTATTTGCATCTATCTTTACTAGTTCACCCTTATTTTTTGCTTCAGTAAAACTTGCACATTGCTCTGATTCGACACCCTATAAATTATTAATGCCTAGTTAATTTTTACACTCTTTGAATTTTGAAGTTGGATAAAATTCAATAATACCCATCAAATATTTTGTACTTTAGCACTATGACAGTTACTCACTATGACAAGGGTTTTTGGACTTAGCTCCTTCACTGCAACGGCAACACCTGCAATCAACCCACCACCACCCACAGGAATAATGACAGCATCAACATCATTTACTTGTTGCATAATCTCCAGACCCATCGTTCCGGCTCCTGCAATGATGCTGGGATCGTCGCATCTTATAAATAAATTTAAATCAATGTGTAGTCAGAAAATATCATTTTTTGAAAGTAATCAAATACCCTAAGTACAGTTAGCATTATCTGAATTGATCCTTCTGAGACCTTGCAGATCTTTTACTACACAACTTTTATGACAAATATTCACAACAAATATTTATTCGTCGTCTCACTTGTTAAATATTTTTTGATCTCGTTTCTAAGAAAGAAATTTTGCTATTTTATGCCATATTGAGAATCTGCTTGTATAAAAAGCTGGCTGTAGTTATTCGTCACATACCCGTTGATGTATTGCAATTCTTTTGTCGCAGCCATTTCCAGGGCGAAGTTTTCTGACTATAATATTCAAATAGTTGCGTTTCGGTTTTTGTAAATACAACATGAAGGTCAAAATTACACAAAAACATTTCGCTATACGTCCCTCGTTTGAAGGGTTGTTATTACATGAAATGTTTAAATAGAGTTTCAAGAGTGAAAACATTGAAGAAATACTATGAAAAATTATATTTCAACAGAGTTTGCTCACAGTAAAAATAGTTAACATGCTCCAAACAAATTATAGTAAATTAAAAAGTCGTAAAATAGCAGTTAACACTTGTCTTTTTACTTCCATCATTACTATATTTTCAATTACACAAGGACATCTTAAGATATACGCACTGGTCTATTCTAGAGTAATTCTGTAAATATTAGTATATTTTAAGATATTTATGTGTCCATCTTAATTTTTAATGTCTGACGTCTTATTCATATAAGCACTTAAGTTCAAAGGCTGAGGAGCAAGAATCTTTTTTATGTCAAAATCTTCTCATGCAACGTCAAAACGTCAAAGAATCTTTTCCTCAAGTTTTAGGCTAACTTTCAGAAGCAATTACTGATTCTGTAACTTACCTCAATGAGATTCGTCCCTAGCTCGTGTACAGTGGCGCCGTATTTTTTACACGATGCAATTTTGTTAATTGGTGTATTCTTTGGCATGACAACCGTGACTGGAATGCCTAGTTGTTGCCCGTGGTATGATAGAGCAAAGGCGTGGTTTCCATCTGAGGCAGCTATCACCCCTTTTCTCTTTTGATCCTAAGATGAGGATAGGCAAGGTTAATGTTTTTTAAAAAAGGATACGTGAATTAGATGGTAGATATTGTATTATACAGTGATGCATGAAGTAGAGAGAAAAAGTGGTAAATGCATTAAGGAATGTTATGTAAATTAAAGAGGTATATGTACTCATACAAAGAGAATGTGTTTATGTGATGTATATATACATATTTTATTACAAAGAGCAATTTAACCGTACATCAAACAGCGTTTCTAGTGCATTTCTTACTCCTCTTTCCTTAAAACTAGAAAAACGTGATTCATCGTTAGTAAATAGAACTTCGCCATTTCTCATTATAGATTGCTCAGTTAACATATTTTACAAACCTTCCAGTGGGTAAAAGGTAATCTTTTTTGAAATACACTTCCATACCCAGTGCATCAGACATTTTTGAGTACTGCAAAGATGACAGAAAATTATTTTTTTGAAGATCTGCACTAGTCGAACAATTTCCATTAGTCAAACGTGCACGCCAGTTAGAATCATCATTAAATACATTTTTTTGAAGCATTTTTGAAAGAAATTAGTACGAGCGATAATCAACATTTATGGAGAAAGCATTTGATGATTAATTACTTCAAGTGAAAATTGAAAAGTGAATGTTTTCACCTCAAAAGAAGTTGTTAAAGTCCTTTAAGAACATTTTTTATAACTTATGACTATTTGGCTGTATTGTTTAGTCGGAAGTCAATAAACAACCTTTTTCCTTACGCCTTAATGCCTGTGGAATATATTGCTTTTTTTAAGTCCTAGCAACATGAGTGTTTAACGATTTTTTACATGTAACTAGTTAGAACTCTTGATCTCCCAATTCCATACACAATTTTTCTAAACCCTAACCTTAACACCTTTTTACAAGCGTCTTACGACAAAAGATCGACTTATTGTGACAAGTCCATGATTAATTGTCTCAATAGAACGTGTTTACTTTGTGATATTTTGCAAATTACTGATAAAAACGAAATTGAACAAACTTATGTTAATAGTAATTGTGTTCTATACTTGATACGTATTTAATAAAGAATTAAAAAAAATCAACGACAGCACATAAACTACATTTCGCATACTTTATACATCATATTATAGGTTTCCCTTTGACAGTGACATTTTTGCTCAATTTTTTATTTTATAAGGAATTTATGTAGGATATGCTCTCGTATCCTTTCTGTCATTCGTAAACAATTAAGTCAAGTGTGAAAAACTAAATGATTATTTTAAAAGGCATTTATGTGCAGTGATGACAATATTTTTTATAGTTCCAAATAGTTTTCCGTTATTTATCCTTACTTATTATGTCGTATAAATAAAAGTAATTCAACCGTTGTAAGATCGATCGTACGCTGTAGACATTGACGTTGAACATTAAATGAGTTCGTTTAGTTATCGGTGATATTTCTAATTTTGGGTGTAAGTCAATTTATACTAAAGAAGGCAGATGGCTACATCACAAAACCTAACGTTTTGGGCTACGCTATTTTTATACTAAGTTGAGACAATGGATGCCTGCAAAGAAGTCACCAAAAAACTAACAGGAAATATAACTCCAATCTAAATTCCACAAAAAGATCTCAAGAAAAAGAAACATCCTGTGGCTTGAATCCACCTTACTGTAAAAATTTAAACACAAAACGTTGCAAAAATTTCGTTTTTCTGATAGAAAAGCATTTCTCGCCCTTTTCAAATCTCCACAAAATCTTTAACAAAAACTCTGTAACTTTAGCCACAGTAATTGCGTTGGCGAAAGTCAACAACCAATTCACTTTTTGCCCTAATGCCTGTGGAATTTGTGATGTTTATTTTTAACGTTAAAGAACTTATACCAGATATGTTTCATGCTGCATTATGCATAACTCAGGGGTTGATCCAGCAATTTACATGACTGTAGCGAAACGAGTCCCCGTATGGAGTTCTAGGGTTAACCTCCCCCGGGACATTTTGAAATTTAATATGGTCGAAATAGCGATTTCCTTCAAATTTGGAATTAAATATGGAAAGTTTGCAAAGCTTATCACGTAAGCATTTCTACAAAGCTCTTCAAAAATTGCTTCAATTGGATCTTTTTCATCATACAATGAAGTGCAGCATTAGATAAATACATGGCAAATGTATTTTCCTTACAACAAAAAATGCACCCTGCTTATGCTAATGTTCAATCAAAGGAGTGGGAAGGATAATAAGGCATGTTCATAAACAATTCAATGCTTATAATGCATCAAAGACAGGAGATTAAGGTTTCTTCACCATACATTGCAATGGACCACGAATAATAAAGAAATTGCCATAACCGGAAGTCCTATCTTTTGATATACAATGGAATAAGTGCAAATTAGCAAATGACATAAAAATAAAACATTATCTTTTAAATGGTTTATAAGTTATGACAGCAATACATTTACTTCAATTTCACAGGGAAGACACATGATATTCTCCTGCATCAAAATCATGTCCTTTAAAACTATGCATTATGATATAACCACAATCATTACTTACATTAGAATATCAGCATTTATATAAATAATCTATCCATGCAATAGAAGCCATATAGACAATAATCAAATTCCGGAATGACTCATTTGACATTTAAATTTAAATTTCAAATGCTCTTGGGTTTGCCCATATCACTAGCGCAGATACACATTTAATATAAACGACAACTTTTTTGAAAATAGACATGTTTCGACATGTCATGATGCCATCTTCAGTATGAATGAAATAATAGGTGATACAGGGTTTATATAAAAGTAATATGATACATAAATTAGAACAATAAAAAGGAAATAAGATAATATAATGAGGAGCGTCCGAGTGTATTATAAACTAAATATTGTATTGAATTTAAAAACTTGAACATTGAGGTCAGGGTTAGTTTTGTTAATGTGGATTTCTTGATTTTAAGGGTTAATGAGGTGTCGGCAGTGTCGATGATTTTGAAATAAGAGGGTGAATAGTTGGTTTTGCATGAGTGAGATTTTAGAAGGTGTCGGTAGATATGAGAGTTTTTGTCTGTTGTGGTATGTTCCCTGATTCTTGTGGATAAATGGCGCGAAGTTTCGCCAATATATCGGGAATTACATCCCGCGCAATTGAATTCATATACCACCATAGATTTAATTGAATCAGGGATAGGGTCTTTAAATGAGAAAAAGTTTTTGATTTTGAATGATGTGAAAATTAGTCGAATGTCAATATCTGTACAGAAGCGTTTCATAATGTTTGTAAGTCTGCGTTGTGTGTGTCGTGAGTAATGTCCGATGAATGGTAGTTTGAAGTATTGAGTTGGTATTTTGGAATTTTCATTTGTGTGTTTTCATTTGTGAATTTTCATTTTTATTTGGAATTTTCACTGCCGCAGATGTTGGAAATGACAAATGAATTCAAATACATGTTATGAAACAAACCACTCAATTGAAATAATATTAAATGAAACATTTAAGGCATGTGCAATGAGAAGTCATAGAGCCTTTGAGCCTACAGCAATCTACAGTACAATTTTATTGGAAAACTTGACACAATAACAATTCATTTGCACTGTAGCATAAAGTGCATCATAAAGTCGAGTAAGTTACAAAATTTGTCGAATTTCATGTGAAATCCAGTTTGGTACGTATTATTTATCAATTTAGTTCACTGGGTGTGATTTATGCAGCGTAATTCATTATTTCTAGGGAACTGCAGTTTGGAAAATTGGCATATATGGACATTTATGTCGCCGACCCCGGCCTTACTCAATTTAGCTGCAATGATTCTATTGCACTCTTGCCGAAGTGATAAAATCACATTGATTGTGGCCTTTCCCCTAAAGGAAAACGGTTTATTTAACAAATGTTGAAGTTATTTCAACGTTTTGTGAGATGACATAGTGAATGTTGCCCAAAATGCTCAAATAAGTTGTACATACACAAAAAATTAAGTTATATAAAGCAAATTACGCAATGGTAACGAACTTTTGCCACTGTTGCCGTGATTTGTGATATGATTGGCTAAGCATCGTTCGACTGTTGCCACAATTAGCAATGTGATTGGTTAAGCAAGCCTGCCTGACTGTAGCCAAACTTCGCTAAATTAAGCAACATACTATGGCGAGTTCAGCATTATCCAAATCAGGGTGATTTTGAACGATGCGATCGCGTTTACTTGATCTATGAGCAAATACTTCATGTTAATCGCCGAATAGCTTCAATTTAACAATTTATTGAATTTACTTGCATTGCACATCAATACAAATTTTTAAAATAAATCATTTTATGCAATTATTTGGCGACTGATATTTTTCGAGAATTATGGCTGTTGCTTTTGCAACGTTTGCTAAAGTCTAAATCCGCCCCTGGCCGTAACTGGTCAGTATTCTTCATTTTTGACCCATAATTTTTTTAACCTCTAAGTATAATAAACATCTTTTAGAAGCGTCTAACAAACTACGTCAACTAATTGTCACAAGTCCAGGATTTATTGGCTCAGTAAAACGTGTCCGCTTTGTGACATTTTGTAACTTGCTTATAATTACGAAATTGAATTAAACGTATCTAATGAGAAATTATGTTCGATACTTTAATTTCATAAGTATTTAAGTAAAAAATCAATCAAAGTCAACAAGCAAATAAAATGTTAAATGACAGTAACCAAACTGCATTTCACATAGTTTTTTGATCATACTAAAGTAAGTTTTTATTTGACAGTAAAGTTTTGTCTAAATTTGTTATTTTATAAAATTCGCAAAATTATGTTACCTCGCAAGGAGTTTGAGGCACGCTATCTTGGATTCTTGACTGAGCTGTTGACACATCATCAAACGTAACAAGAACTGGCTGGGCTTGTTCGCTCATTTCATTCAATTCATTGCCTTCCGAAGAACTTGAAGATGTCGATTCCGCCATTGTTGACATTCACACGAAGAAATTGCACGACAGAACTGGTTTAACACCTAAAATTGTTTTACTTAAAAAGGTTTAACAACCTGCTAGTTTTAAAAGATAACTAACTTTTGAAAAATCCTCTTTATTTTTCAGTGTCTTTCCTCTGAAAGTTTATTCCAAACTGCGCTGAGACTGTTCATGACAATTATATAAATTATTCGACCGGTAATTTTCATAAGCAGAATTTAACGTTGCGCAAGCTATTTAGAAAGTGAAAGATTGGCTTTGTATTCGTAATTTAATTATGTTGCGTGACAGAAATGTAATCTGAAAATAATAATCGTCTCTATACCTGGAATTCTCAGTACATCACTGCAATGCTAAAGTTTTCATATTTTAAACTTTTCAATTCACGAGACAAAATTTCTAAGTGGAATGGTTCTACTTAGACTTGAAACGAGAATGAAACATTTTTCACATTTCTCACATAATTTTCCCACACATACGACTTGCAGTCACAAAGATAGCGCAGTATGTCAAATTTCCTATGAATATTTATATTTTGCATCGATTGTGAAAGTCAAATACAAAACTTTGTTTTTAATGGATATAAGACTCGGTATAACATAAAAAGATAGCAATGTTTTGTTAAATTTTGTGTACTTTGGAAACTACCAAACTCTGTAGACGGTCGTCTTTCATATCTATCGTCAGATGAACATATTTTAAAGAGCGAATCAAGTATTTGTATGGATGCCTGTAAATAAGTCACCATAAAACCATCAGGAAGTATAATTCCAATCCAAAAATTTACGAAAAAAATCTCAATAAAAAAATCCTGTGGCTTAAATCCACCATACTGTAAGAATGTAAAAACAAAACGTTGCATTTCTCGCCCTCTTCAACTCTACACAAAATCTTCAACAAAAACTATTTTAACTTTAGCTACAGTAATTGCGTTGGCGAAAGTCGACAACCAATTTACTTTTCGCACTATTGCCTGTGGAATTTGTGATGTTTATTTTTAACTTCTATAGAACTTACTAGACATGTTTCATGTCTAACCTCTGAGTCTAATAAACATTTTTTATAAGCGTCTTACAAACAACATCGACTAATTTTGACAAGTCCGGAATTTATTGGCAAAATTTTTCGCTTGCGCAAGGAAAATGATAAGACGTGACTTGTTTAATCATTGTTTTGATTTTATTTAGACGTAACAATACTTAGAAGCTGTTTTGTATTTGTGATTTAATTACGTTAAGTGGCAATTAGAGATGTTATCTGAAAATAACAAACATACCTATGCCTGTGGTTGCACAGTACATCACTGCAAGCCAGATAATCAAAATTTCATATTTTAGACTTTTAACTTTACTAGACAATATATCATATGGAATGATGCTATAAGACTTTAATTACAAAATGAAATATTTTTCTCATTCTTCCACGTAATATCCCCCCACGAATTGCAGGCAGTCACAAACATAGCTAGCGCGTTATGTCAAATATTGTATGAATTGATAAATTTTGCATTGATTGTGAATGTCGTACTTGAACACTCCAACAAAGTATGTATATATGTACATATATATACAAGTAGTCGCGAAAATGCCATATGAACAGGTGTGTTGAAAAATCCTGCAAAATCTACTAAAAACTATCTTACTCTAAATTCACTGAAGCATCAAAACTGTGTAAATCTGCTCCAATTGTTTAAATATGTTTAGCCATGATCGTTAAAATCGATTATGAATCCAGCCAGTTTTCTTGTGAAAGAAGTATGTCGTCCATTATTTGTCGTACAAAATCAAAAGTAGCAAAATAACAATCGCAGACAAGATGGCTTACGATCTGCCAACGCCGAGACTGTGCATACTATGTTGTTTGGATATAAGAAGCTAAGAAGAGCATATACATGTGAATTATTCTGTTTAAAGATTGGCAATTGAGTTATCATATTATTCAAAAATAAAACTTTCTCCAGATTTCACAAATAATTTTCTTGAGCTTTCGACTCGTTACTTCGAGCCTTCATCGGAAGGAGAATTTTTCTATTTACACTTGCTTTTAGCTTGTAGATGAGTCAAGCGTCTAATTAAATTAGCGGGTGGAGTAATGTGATTGGATGGGTGAATTGCGTTGCCATGGGTTTTGGTGTATTTTGAATATGTTCGCAGTTAATATTATTAGTGTGTGATGTTGTAGTTTTAGGTTGTACTTTAGTTTTGAGCATATGATTGGTATGTTGATATGTCTTTATTGTGTCGTTGTCTTTACTGTCGAGTTGATTCCGCCATTGTTGAAATTCACACGAAGAAATTGCACGACAGAACTGGCTTAACACCTGACATTGTTTTATTTAAAAGTGTTCAACACCCTGCCGGTGTTAAAAATATCGAACTTCTGACAAATCCTGTTTCCTTTTCAGTGAGTTTCCTCTCAAAGTTTCTTTCAAACTGCGCTTAGACTCTTCATGACAATTCAATAAATTATTCGACCGGTGTTAGAGTGTGATGTTGTAGTTTTAGGTTGTACTTTAGTTGTTAGTATATGATGGGTATGTTGATATGTCTGTTTATTGTGTCGTTGTCTTTACTGTCGAGTCGATTCCGCCATTGTTGAAATTCACACGAAGAAATTGCACGACAGAACTGGTTTAACACCTAAAATTGTTTTATTTAAATGTGTTCAACAACCTGCAGGTGTTAAAAATATCGAACTTCTGACAAATCCTTTTTCCTTTTCAGTGAGTTTCCTCTCAAAGTTTCTTTCAAACTGCGATTAGACTCTTCATGACAATTATATAAATTATTCGACCGGTAATTTTCGTAAGCAGAATTTAACGTTGCGCAAGCTACTTAGAAAGTAAAAGATTTGCTTTGTATTTGTAATTCAATTATGTTACGTGGCAGAAATGTAATTTGAAAATAATAATTTTCTCTATACTTGGAACTCTACAGTACAAAACTGCAATGCTAAAGTTTTCATATTTTAAACTTTTAACTTCACGAGACAAAATCTGTAATTGGAATGGTTCTACTTAGACTTGAAACGAGAATGGAGCATTTTTCTCATTTTTTAAATAATTTTACCACACATACGACTTGCAGTCACGAAGATAGCGCAGTATGTCAAATTTCCTATGAATATTTATATTTTTCATCGATTGTGAAAGTCAAATACAAAACTTTGTTATTAATGGATATAAAACTCGGTATAACATAAAAAGATAGAAATGTTTTGTTAAATTTTGTGTACTTTGGAAACTACCAAACTCTGTAGACGGTCGTCTTTCATATCTATCGTCAGATGAACATATTTTAAAGAGCGAATCTAGTATTTGTATGGATGCCTGTAAATAAGTCACCATAAAACCATCAGGAAGTATAACACCAATCCAAAAATTCACGAAAAAAATCTCAATAAAAAAATCCTGTGGTATAAATCTACCATACTGTAAGAATGTAAAAACAAAACGTTGCATTTCTCGCCCTCTTCGACTCTACAAAAAATCTTCAACAAAAACTATTTTAACTTTAGCTACAGTATTTGCGTTGGCGAAAGTCGACAACCAATTTACTTTTCGCACTATTGCCTGTGGAATTTGTGATGTTTATTTTTAACTTCTATAGAACTTACTAGACATGTTTCATGTCTAACCTCTGAGTCTAATAAACATTTTTTATAAGCGTCTTACAAACAACATCGACTAATTTTGACAAGTCCGGAGTTTATTGGCAAAATTTTTCGCTTGCGCAAGGAAAATGATAAGACGTGACTTGTTTAATCATTGTTTTGATTTTATTTAGACGTAACAATACTTAGAAGCTGTTTTGTATTTGTGATTTAATTATGTTAAGTGGCAATTAGAGATGTTATCTGAAAATAACAAACATACCTATGCCAGTGGTTGCACAGTACATCACTGTAAGCAAGATAATCAAAATTTCATATTTTAGACTTTTAACTTTACTAGACAATATATCATATAAAATGATGCTATAAGACTTTAATTCCAAAATGAAATAATTTTCTCATTCTTCCACACAATATCCGCCCACGAATGGCAGGCAGTCACAAACATAGCTAGCGCGTTATGTCAAATATTATATGAATTGATAAATTTTGCATTGATTATGAATGTCGTACTCAAACACTCCAACAAGGTATGTATACATGTACATATATATACAAGTAGTCGCGAAAATGCCATATGAACAGGTGTGTTGAAAAATCCTGCAAAATCTAGTAAAAACTATTTTACTCTAAATTCACTGAAGCGTCAAAACTGTGTAAATCCTGCTCGAATTGTTTAAATATGTTTAGCCATGATCGTTAAAATCGATCATGAATCCAGCCAGTTTTCATGTGAAAGAAGTATGTTGTCCATTATTTGTCGTACAAAATGAAAAGTAGCAAAATAACAATCGCAGACAAGATGGCTTACGATCTGCTAACGCCGAGACTGTAAATACTATGTTGTTTGGATATAAGAAGTTAAGAAGAGCATATACATGTGAATTATTCTGTTTAAAGATTGGCAATTGAGTTATCATATTATTCAAAAATAAAACTTTCTCCGGATTTCACAAATAATTTTATTGAGGTTTTGACTCGTTGCTTCCAGCCTTCATCTGAAGGAGAATTTTTCTATTTACACTTGCTTTTAGCTTGTAGACGCGTCGAGCGTCTAATTGGATTAGCGGGTGAATTAATGTGATTGGATGGGTGAATTGCATTGCCATGGGTTTTGGTGTATTTTGAATATGTTCGCTGTTGATATTATTAGAGAGTGATGTTGTACTTATGGTGTTGTTTTTTAGTTTTATTGTCCTTTTTTTTAGTTGTGAGTATATGATGGGTATGTCGATATGTCTGTTTATTGTGTCGTTGTCTTTACTGTCGAGTCGATTCCGCCATTGTTGAAATTCACACGAAGAAATTGCACGACAGAACTGGTTTAACACCTAAAATTGTTTTTTTTAAAAGTGCTCAACAACCTGCCGGTGTTAAAAATATCGAACTTCTGACAAATCCTCTTTCCTTTTCAGTGAGTTTCCTCTCAAAGTTTTTTACAAACTGCACTTAGACTCTTCATGACAATTATATAAATTATTCGACCAGTAATTTTCCTTAAGCAGAATTTAACGTTGCGCAAGCTATTTAGAAAGTGAAAGATTTGCTTTGTATTTGTAATTTAAT